CATAAGTTGCGATCCAATACTAAATTCATAGAAAAATATCGTTTTTGACATTTCAATAAAAGTATTGAATTACAATTTACGATATTTCCTCCGAATTCGCGAATAAGTAAATAAGTTTCGTATCTTAGATAGAGGTAGGCATTTACTCCCGTTTTATCTTATTGTGCTCTAGGCTCAAGAGCAATTTGGTTAAAGACTAACTGGCGACTACCGTATTCTTGGTTTTGGGATTAATTTGATCGAGTAGGTGCACAATTTACAGATCTTCTTCTTAGTTTCCGCAGATATTCTACTTAAACCCTAAGGTTGACTGGTAGAGAATGCCATATGGAATTAAGTTCGCCTTATGTGCTATTGTGTACATTAAAGACTAAATAAATAAATAAATAATAATCTTCAGAGTTTAGGTCGAGTAGGTAAATGTTTTACTGAATTTACTAAAAATTACGAGTTACTCAAGTAAATATAATTATCTACTGAGAAAAGCTCTACTAATTTCGAATCGCAGAGGGACTCTTCCTCATGAGCAGCGTGCGCGGTCGCGGCGATGCCACGCAGCCTATTTTCCTCAGTATCTATTTACGTGAGTAACTCGTAATTTTTGGTTAATTTAGTATGTCTCACGATAGTTATTATAAAAACAAATGTTTTGCTTATTACACTTTCGTTATCATTGTCAATTTTCGCATTGCGATTAAACTTTTAAACCGATTCTTGGATTCAACGCCAGAGTGTGACATGTTTTCTAGTGAAAAAATATTATTTTTGACGGAATGCTTGAAGTTTTGCGAAAGAGATGAATGAACTATGGTATCTAATAATGATTCAGTTTTTAAATGTATCGTTTCTTTCAATTGTTTGTGTATTGTATTGAGTAGTGTAATTGGATTTTTGTACCGTTCTATTTGTATCCTTACTAATAATTATAAATCTGAAAGTGAGTTTGTTTGTTTGTTTGTTCCACCTTCACGCCGTAACTACTCAACCTATTGCTTTGAATTTTTGCAGACGTAAAGTTAGAAGTCCGGATTAAATAATAAGGTACTTTATAACCCGGAAAAATTGATATTCCCGAGAAAAAACAAAAGCGTTGGTATAGATGGCGCTGTGTGTATTGTTATATGTCACATAGGCTACACTTTTATCCTTTTGTGACGCGAGCGAAGCCGCGGGTAAAAGCTAGTACCTATATAAATACACGGAGTCAAAAGAAAGTGTAACTTGTTTAGACTTGCAAATTCACTTGTAGTTTCTTTTCCTCTTTCATTGTTACCAAAAAAATTAATGCCTTTTTGAAGCATTTCTTTAAAAGCTCACGATGTCAACAAAACTTTTTGCAGACTCAAAAAGAGATAAAATACTAAAATGTGAACAGCCAGTGTTATGATGGAGCGGTCCTGCACATTCGTCACGCTTTGCTTCACAAAAGTTAACAATGAACCACTTAACGTACCACAATGAACAACATTGCAAAAATAAATCAGGCCTTACTTCGTTTTTTCAAAAAAATCAAAACTAAACATACCACTATTGAAGCTCCATTCTTCATATTGACAAAATACTCACCCACGCACAGACAATACTTTAATTTTTTTATTGACGAAGATATTATGCTCATTCAGCCTTGAATCGAATCGGATCGATATATCGAGCATGAAATCAATTATTTGTGCGAAAGGTTTAAGCTACCTGAACTTTGATATCTATAATCGTTTCAAGTGTTATTCAAGTTATTGGAGGTAAAGTTGAGTTAATTTGAAGTGTCTATAAATAGAGTCTAGCAATTAATCGATTAGCACGTCGACTATTTTAAAGTTAAAGTTTTATTAGTCTTTTTGATTGTTGAATTTAAACAGAAATAAAATAAACCTAACATAACATAACATCACGCCTTTTATCACCAAAGGGGTAGGTAGAGGTGCACATTATGCCACTGTATAATGTAACACCCACTTTTCACTATTTATGTTATGAGTCCCATGTACCTAATAGGGGGTGAGCCTATTGCCATATACCGGGCACATTTTTTTTTTAAACTCAGTAATACTGTGCCCGACCCGGGAATTGAACCCGAGACCCCTTAACCGGCATTCGCACTTGCGACCACTCGGCCAATGAGGCGTCGCGAGTCGATATATAAAATAAAGTCGCAAATAAAATAAAACAATTTGTTATTTGCAACACTTGCCACATTTTTCAATCTTTAGAGGCATTTCCTATCGTACTATTCTGAGAAGAAATGCCAAAACGAACTCAGAGGTCATCAGAACATCTTTTAAAGTTCAGACAAATACAAATCTACTTACACATTATCATAAATTAAAAAAATTCAATCATGTTTTTATAATAACTATCGTGAGACATACTAAATTAAGTAAAAACGCGCACGCTGCTCATGAGGAAGAACTCCTCTGTGGTTCGAAACTAGTAGAGCTTTTCTTAGTATATTTACGTGAGTAACTCGCGTTTTTACTTAACCATTAAATCAATTGTCAACAAAAAGCCTTGCACGACGAACTTACTCACATTTATGTAACAAATCACCTGACAATATTCTCAAGCAATTGAATTCGTTTTCATAGCAATAGCATACCTTTATTTAATGTTATAAAAACGACCGTGAAATCAAAATCCTCGTGGTAAAACTGCAGGTTGCAAATTGATGCGTTTTGTACAAAAATCAACGTGAAACGAATCGCTAGAGGTGTAACGAATATAGTGGCTGATGCCAACTTTTGTGAAAAAAAACAAAATTAGACAATTTTTTTGTAAGTGTGATTTAATGTCGTGGTGGCCCGGAGGTTTAAGACGCTTATCATGCATGACGGTCGGACGGAAACTTACGGTTTCTCGGACCTGGGTGTTTACTCTTGTAACCAATCTCTATGTCAATGCAATTTCAATCCAATAAAATCTCAGTAATTATTTAATGTCAGAACTATATAACCCCTATCGTAGGTGTTAAAGTAGCATTCAGAGTACAGAATATAAAGCCAAAACTCAATACTATTTAGTTCATTCAATATCCTCGCAATACGGATGCAATGGGCGCTAGTGTTGCAATTCAAGAGTACGAAATTTGACAATGTCAATGTCGATCGATCGGAATTGGATTCAAGAGTAAGCGCCCTGGTGTCATGAATTTCAGTAGAGGTAGATATGCGGAAGGCACACTCACCACAAATGAATTGAAATTCACGCTGTGGTGGGATTCTAATTTCAAAACCCTTACAGTGTAATTCGTTTTAACTCGTCGAGTACCGGTTTTATAGACACAATTAAAGAACAATAGGTCGCGGTCACCGGTGACCGCTTGGTGTTTGACAGTTTAATCTGCATAGATTATACTCTACAATCTTTGTTTAATTGGCTCTTGTGATACAGGGATACCTAGTACAAGAGCCCGGGCTTCACTGTGTTAATTCTATGAACCGCTAATAAATGTTGATGTATTTATTTATTTAATAATCTCCTCGACCTTTTAGCTTTTATCGCTTATGCCTTGTTCGCACTATGCTAGTATTTTAGTTAAGTAGCAAGTATTTAGTATACTGCTCTCGCTTCTGTCCCAAAATCGAAGCGAGAGAGAGTTACTAAATACTCGCGACTCGACTAAAATACTAGCATAGTGCGAACAAGGCATTATATACGCCTACTTTAGTAACCTACCCAAAACTGAACCAAAGTGAAACTTATTGTATTTTTGTCTTTTTAAAAAATGTTGCCCCACACTAGGATTGTCTCCTGTGTCGTGGGTGCGTTTACAAACATACAAGATCACATACACATGACACCCAGACCCGAAACAACAATTTGTGAATTACACAAAGAGTTGCTCCGTGTGGTAATCGAACCCGCTGCACGGTTGGCGCGGTTGCCCAGCCACCGCGCCAATCGTGCAGTCTTGCGTCAGTCAGTGCAAACTGCCGAAAGAAAACTCGTATATAAAAAAAAACATCATCAACAGCCTATAAATGCCCACTGCTGAGCAAAGCCTCTTCTCACACGAAGAAGGTTAGAGCATTAATCACCACGTTTGCTCAATGCGGGTTGGCGATTTCAAACGTATAATTAGAAATTATAAGTCCAGGTTTCCTCACGATGTTTTTCCTTCACCGTTTGTCAGTGGTGTCTAAATAATCTTAGAAAGTACATATAACTCGGAAAAAGTCACATTGGTACTTGCCGTTGGTATGTTTCGAACCCGCACCCTCATGCATGAGAAGCAGGCGTCTTAAACCTCCGGGCCACCACGACGAAAAAAAAACATATTCCTTCTAAATTCAAAACCCTGTATTGTTTTCCTCTCTTCAAAAAAGTATACATATATGTAAATGTACATTAACATTGTACAGTTGTATACCTCAGTTCAAAGTACACAGGAGGGAGGCCGAAATCAAAACGGACTTGTTATTGCAAATTATATTTTTTTTCAGAGGGGCCCCGTGTTTGTACGAATTCTTAATAGAAGCGAAACATTGGTCTGGAGGGAATCTGTATATCTTTAGGGGTTGCAAAGGAAATTGCACCTTGTTAGTATCGAAATAAGAGTGACGGTGTTCGTCATTATAATGTTATTTGAAATCCTCAGGTCTGCCAGCGACAGGTTTATTAATTTTTCTTTTCCTTTCCTTATTGTTTTTCTTTGGTTTTCGTTTGGAAAGTTTCCTTGTTCCGAGAAGTCGGCACTGATTTCCATACTGATTAGATGTCAGCGTTATGTTCGTGGTTTTGGGGCTAGAATCTTGCCCCAAAACTTCTGCGTAGGAAGATCCTATGTCCAATCTAGCCGCTAGATAAGACATAGGATCTTCCTACGCAGAAATCAATGTATTTAAAAATGTCGTATACATTCTTAACTGTCATTGTTTTGTTCCCACCTTGATTCTCAATAAGTACCCTTTTTGGCTAAAAATCGGAACGTGTCTGAAATCTAGGTTATGTAGGTCCTGTAATGTCATATATATCCCAGTATATCCCAGTGCCCTGTCGCGGAGAACCTAACGGGTAACCGGGGCTCCGGCTCGACGTGCAGGAGAAGGAACGGGGTGGTTTTTAGTCAGTAAGAGTCTGACACTCCCTCCCACCTCACCTAGGCGGAAGCAGTCATTCGATGATTTTCCCCCCTTAAATAAAAATCCCAGTGCCCTGGACGCCAAGGACGTTGAAAACCGGCCGGGTGCCACAGTCGTTGTCTCTTGAAACAACGACTGTGGCACCCGGCTACTATCGAATTACACGCAGAATACACACACATTGATACGAAGGACATCTGTCCCGTGACATGGCCCGTCATTACACTTCATACATTACGGTGTTGCAAGTACACACACACATAAATACACCACTGACATTTTGGTGCTTCAATCATTCCAATCTAGGTGATTATCTACGTCCTTGTCATCAGCAATCAAATTATCTTAACCCTGTAGGTACTAAACAAACACCAATCCTAAAAACATTCATTTCCTGAATGATACTTACACAAGTAGGAACTGTATACCTATTTAGTGTCGCGGAGAACCTAACGGGTAACCGCGGCTCTGGCTCGACGTGCAGGAGAAGGAACGGGGTGGTTTTTAGTCAGTAAGAGTCTGACACTCCCTCCCGCCTCACCCAGGCGGAAGAAGACATTCGACGATTTTCCCCCCTTAACTCGTCGAGTACCGTATTTATAGACACAATTAAAGAACAATAGGTTGCGGTCACCGGTGACCGCTTGGTGTTTGACAGTTTAAAGAAAAAACCTATTTAGTCCCAAAAATAGGTATATTAAACAGCAAGGAGGTTCACATAGCAAAAAAGAAATTATACGGGAGTCTTGTCGCCATTCTCATTAACTGTGCACTCGCTTCTAATTCTCAGACTGAGAAAGTTTTAATTTTTTTACATGTCTACTGTACAGTCTGCACTTTATGTTTAAATGTAGGAAACGCCAGCATTATGGGTACCTACCTAACTTATAGTAGCGACAAAATATAGAGGTATATAGGTAAGTACCCCATTCATGAGACCAGAACCAATCTTTGAAAAGGTTACTAAGGGACCCCATCCCGAAGTGGTTATAGTGGCCAGGCTAAGATGGAGTTTAGTTTTTGATAAAAACTTCACTTCAGCCAAGCTCTTCGATACAATACGAGGCTGAAATCAAATTAAACTACAGTATCTTATTAGTGGATCAACATTGACAACAACGGTAGGAAAACTTTTTGAAAATCTATCTTAGCAAATACTGGTGAGAGTGACATAACTTTTTATTATATGTCATACCTTGTTAATGATTCCTTTTCATTTATATAGAGTATATTTAGCTGGATAAGGTACGATGGGGTAGACGTATCCATATGGACAAAAATCCACTAACAAAAAAAATAAATAAGGAGAATAAAAAAAATCTCATCAAATACTTAAGTAAAACGTTAAACCATCGTCAGCTAAAGTCCTCGAAATTCGAATTGATAAATAAATACAGAACAAAGCATACAATAAACGGAGTAACTTTGACAAAACTGTAAAATAAACTCTCATTCATAAAGCTGCATGATTTTTAAACGCAACCACAACATCGCGCTCGTCGCAAAAAGATGTAACTGCGAACGTGTACGTGTAGTTCGCAAATTTCAACAAAGCTCCCTCTGACAGCAATTCCGTTTTAGAGCCTTAATCCCGGCTCTAGTACGAATAAAAGGCATATTTCGTTCGCCGACGCTCGCAAAATTGTCATCGCAAATAGCTTTTGCCTTGGGCGTTCCACTTACCCAACTCCAGAACTTTATAACTCTCCAAAATTCACAACGAATTTTGAACTCTGAACTTCTGCTATAAAGTCGAAAATATTTCCTCTTAAACTCTCTCGAGTATTGTAACAATGAAAATGCCAGCATTGCACACGTAAATACAATTCGTTGGAATGCTTCGATCGTCTAGATTTAACAGCTTAAGGAATAAGGTTCACAATCGTTCGGATGGCAAATCTGAACTTGAAAATCGTCGCCTGCCTGACGCTCGATATCAAATAAACATTATTGTGGGTGCAAAATGCCTGAAGCGACCGCCTCTGTTTGAACAATTGTGAGCTTTACGGTATTGCTTTAAAGTTGGTAATTGAGAAATAATTTCCAATTGCTAGGATTTTCGCCGGGGGAAGTAACAAGGATGGTCGGATACGGGTTTGGTTGGGAGTGAAAAGGAGAGCAACATAGCTCGAAGCACTGTGATTGGTCAGGAAGGCCGCAGGCTGTGAACAGTAGCCCGCCCTATGTCTACTGTAAACGATGACGCAGCTGCCACAAAAAGGCGTAACTAGAGCGGAATAGCAAGCATTATATTTTGTTTACTTTATTTCAAAACTTTTATTGACTTTACAACACCGACATATTGTTAAGGTTTACAATTTCTTTTACGTTTAATTTATGCTTGTTGATTGTTCAGTGAGATCTTACATTTTCTCATACAAATAATATTCCGGTCTGAACACCTGTTGTTTGTGCCTGGAAGCGATGTATGAATGAAAGAACATACGTGAACATTGTAGGTTATTTCTTCAAGGCTTTTATGATCTGAGAGATTACGCAGGAAATACAGACAATGATTGTTGTGGGAACAAGATTAATTTTGATAATTCTGCAATAGTTTATTTTGTTCTGCTCTGTCTTGCGACGCGTTTAAGATGTGCAGTTACGTGTTTGTTCGTGGGAGCCGGAGCCGCCGGCGTCACCGAGGGCGCTCATAGCTCGGGGCGTGGCGCGCACACATATGCAAACACACCCTCCGAACTTCGTAGACACGCGGAAAATCTTACAAATGTGTGCTTATTCACGCACACTATAACAACTACGAAAATACTTCACAAACCCATTACTTATCTTACTTGGAACGAATGTCCATGTGTGAGTGTCTTACAATATAAACTTTAGGAGTAGATAATACAGATACAATTTTTTTATATAAGTAGCACGCACACATTGGAGCAGTTTTTCTTAGATTCATATTTTCCTGTTGTGAGTATATACCTAAAGAAATGTATTCGTATTATCGCGTTTAAATAGCAAGGCCATGTCTGAAATAAATAAAAGATATTTGTGAATACTGTTTTGAAATGTAGATGTATTGGATGACTACGATCGAATCAGTAGACGCTTGACATGTTATTGATGATTAATCATAATTCTGAATTTTTTAATCACGATATTTTTTCACTGTTTTGTTTGGATACAAACTTAACTTTCGAGTCAGTCACAATTAACTACGTTTTAATGCTAGAATTTGAAACAATGGTCAGGATATCGTGTTTTAGTGTGGGAGAGTCATTTTTGGCACGGATAGGGGTGATATCACGGTCGAGCAGGAAACGCTTGCGTTGTGTTCCATCCGTCGTGTGAATGAGGTTACCGGAGGCCCAATTATACCCCCTCTCTAATCTCTACAATCCCTGAATCCTAACAATCATCAAACTCCTAATCCACAAAAGGCCGGTAAGCAATTGTAACGCATCTTGTTCCAGGTGTCCATGGGCGACGCCGATTGCTTACCATACCTACCGTTTACATATTTGTTTACACATTGACATCTCAGAATTCTTAAACACCACCTTAACCACAGCTTATTAGCTATGTTTAATGTTCTAAAAACAAATTACCTATTATAAATCTAAACGCAGCGCTATTTCAAAAATGTATATTTTTCTAAAAATTACCGATACCCAAGTTATGTATTATACTTAGGTATATTTAAACAAAAAAGGTTTATAATAGCTGAGAATAAAGTATTGTTCAATTTAGTCGGTAAACGGAAAGCCAATGATTTTCCTTCTATTGAAATTCAGATGAAGTTTAGTAAAGCTTTTGTTTCAGAGTATTCTTTTAAAGTTATAAATGCTCTTAATTCGATGAAATGCTTTAGGTACTTACCGTTAATTGAATTAGACGTCTGTCAAATTATTTTCGAGACACAAATATCATCATCATCATCATCATCATCATCAGTAGCCGGAAGACGTCCACCGCTAGACAAAGCCCACCCTCTCTCTTAGTCCTCCACGTCGAACGACAACACTCGTCACCTGCATCTGGCCTTCTACAGAAGCTCAAAGTAGCTCAACGCGCGATGGAGAGAGGTATAAGAGAGGCAACGTATATTACGTAAAATTTTTTCAAACTTACCTCTCATTTAAGACATACTTAATTATGACTGTCATGTCACACGTGATCAAAGTACTTATGTAAGTGATCTAAATGTCTAAACAAATGTTGAACACATGCTAAACAGATATTCATTCATCAACAGTCTATAAATGCCCACCGCTGAGCAAAGCCTCTTCTCACACGGAGAAGGTTTGAGCATTAATCACCACGCTTGCTCAATGCGGGTTGGCGATCACAAACTTATAATTAGAAATTATAAGCCCAGGTTTCTTCACGATGTTTTCCTTCACCGTTTGTCAATGGTGTCTGAATAATCTTAGAAAGTACATATAACTCGGAAAAAGTCACATTGTACTTGCCGTTAGTAAGTTTCGAATCCGCACCCTCATGCGTGAGAAGCGGGCGTGTTAAACCTCCGGGCCACCAAACAGATATTCGGTGGTGCACATTACGGCACTTAATGCGACTGTATAATGTAACACCCACTTTTCACTATTTTATGTTATGAGTCCCATGTAATAGGGGAGAGTCTATTGCCTATATAGCACAATTCCAGACTCCGTGCTACTACTGAGAATATTTAAAAACCCAGTAATGCTTTGCCCGACCCGGGAATTGAACCCGAGCCTCATCGCACTTGCGAGCACTAGGCCAAAGAGAGCTGAATGCACGGAATAGGTTAACTAGTAATTTAATTTTGTAACAGTCGGAATACCTCATTATTTCGCTTAAAAACAGCGAAGAAAGTAAAAATTACGCTTTTACCGTAAAATCGAGATTAAAACAAAATTGATTACGTTGTAACACGTAATTATCGAATTACGTCACTATTCGATTATTATAATAACATCAATATTATAATATCGATACAATCCAGGCTGTATGTAGTTATATTGCATTTGTTTCAGCGACGCTCCGTTAGTTTCAGCCGGGCCGTCCTGAAACGCGGCCATTGCGCGACGGGCGACGCCATATTTTATTTTTTAAATAAGGAACACTGTTTTTCTTTTATTTATTTTAAATATTTGTTTATATTTTGCCGTTGCGTTCTTGTGAATTATGGGTGATAGTTTTAAGGTGTTCAAATGAAGTTTTTGAAGATTTTATCTACGAATGTTTTGATTAGGTTAGTGAAATTTATTATGATTTTCTATTAAACTGCGAGGACACCGGTGACCGCAACCTATTGTTCTTTAATTGTGTCTATAATGACGGTACTCAAAGGGTTAATTAGGTAATTTATTATTGGAAGGGGAGAAATACTAATATGTATGTATGGTATCCTTACCTAGTCACTACGTATTGTGACTCCGAGAAATCAGGCACGTGTCTTGTATCGACTTTGGAACTACCCATCTTAATTAAGAGGTCAGTTAGCATAATATTCGAAGAAGAAAAACTGTAGCCATCATTGTTGTTAATGCAATTTTCCTTCCTTAGCAAATAGTAATGAATTTGGACTACTTCATGAAAGAAGCACCAGGCACCATACCTGATGTCTGATCTAAGTGAAACCACCATCTTACTGTATTACGCAGTACCAACTCTTTTTGAAATTCAGTCAATGCTGATTAGGTAAAATGCTTATTGACCCCAGTAAGGATTCAAGATTGATAATTGTTACGAGAGTTCTTTTTCATAATTGGGATGATGACAGGGTATGAAAATTAATAATATAATTAGTCCGTAAGTTAGGTAATGAAAAAATATTATACACGTATTATTTTTATTTTTGTCGTATAATAAAACAATACTTAAATAAAACGAATCAAAGTTTAGGAGTGGGGGCTAAAACGTCATTTTTACGTATAAAATGTACATAGAAGTGACGTCACACGACATTTTAAATCAATATGTCGTCGAAAGACCCGAAAATATCCGTTTCTGTAAGAAAATAAAATGATTTAAAATGATCTACCAGACGGACATTAAAATAAAAATTAGGCATCTACCCTATTGTAAGTACGGTACATATACAAACAAAGGTAGATTTTCAAGCCACATGAGATCCTATTATAGACGCCAGTACTCATGAAACAGCCATGGAAGGATTGGATTATATTAGACTGTACATATTAAACTCAGATCATGAAGATTATTTGGTCATTCATAAAGCTTCTTCTATCTAGTTTAATAGATACTCATCATCATTTATATCATAGTCAACAGGTCCTGACCCTGACTGACTATGTATGTACTTCTTCTATACATGTAATGCAGGCTACACACCTTCCATTTTAAGTGTACAGTCAAATTGTACAATTAAATTTTATACACCTTATACCACTTCAAGTAAAATTGTATAGTTCAACTGTTTGCTCCTTATGATTTTACTGTACAGTCTGACTGTACAGTTAAAACTTCACAGTGTACAGTTAAGTTGTAAGGTGTGTAGCGTGTATAAGATAGACCCGAGCGTACGTCGCGACGCATTTCACACGCTCCTCAAAGAGCCATCAGACCACCACGGATGGGGCCCAATAGGGCTGATGCCGATACGGTGTCGCGGAGAACCTAACGGGTTACCGGGGCTCCGGCTTGACGTGCAGGAGTAGGAACGGGGTGGTTTTTAGTCAGTAAGAGTCTGACACTCCCTCCCGCCTCACTCAGGTGGGAGCAGTCATCCGATGATTTTGCTCCCTTAAAAAAAGCTAGTATGAGACAGACAAACACAGGTTACCTACTTCACTAAAACCTACGTGTTTTCATCTAATATACTTCAACACAACCAAACCGAAATACATAGATAAATAGGTACCTAAGTACCTATGTACCTAAAGCCGTTGATAAGAAGAAAATTACCGAACAATAATAATAAGTAAATAAATACAAAAGGTAATCATCGCGGAACGTAATCTTGTTACGAAAATGTTTGTGTAAAAATAAAAGCGGTTTAATTATTTAAGATATTCTCCTCACAAAGGGTCGCCTCCCCCACTGAAAGGGAGGTAGCCATTATAATTATTTTTCTTAAAAACTTTACCGTTACGAAATATTTTTTTTTTTGTTCTTTTTACAAAAGAAAAAGTGTTTCGTTAGCTTAGTGTGGATGTGGGTTTGCGTTTGTGTATTTTTGTATAATTTTTAATTATCTTGTATTTGAACTGTTTTTTAATTATTTAGTTAAGATTTTGGATTTTTTGTGGGTTAAAACTGAAAGGTCAGATGATCATGATTGAGATTGCTAATTGATGTCACGCTTATTCAAGAAGTAGAAAATGTATCGACAAATATAACTTGGGTGTCTTCAAGTCCCGAATGAACAGGTTGCTCATAGGTAGGCGTGCTCCATCGTCGGCCACATCATCACTTACCACCAGGCGAGATGGCGGCCAACTGCCTTTCAAGGATTAAAAAAAACTTAGCTTACATTAGTGGGATTAAGCGAGAGATTAAGATGAGGCCCAATTACCCTCCCGTTCCCCAATCTCCCCAATCCCTGAATCTTCAACAATCCTCAAACTTCTAATCCACAAAAAGCTGGTAACGCACTTGTAACGCCTCTGGTGTTCCAGGTGTCCATGGGCGATGCCGATTGCTTACCATCAAGTGATCCGTGTGCTCGTTTACCGGCTTATGCCATAAAAAAGCAACGTAGATTAAAACACATTTAACTACATGTAAATCCAAACCTCGACATACCATTAGTATAAATCCTCTTTTTGTTCAGTACGACAAACAAAAACTAACATACTTATGAAAAGGTCCGACGAATAAAAATATTATCCATGAATTATATTTTCAGGGTACAAAAATATTATAACATGGACCTTATTAAAAAGTTTGTAATACAGCGAATGGAAGGTTTCTTATCATTTCAATTTAGCTCCGGGGGTAAGCAGACATGTAGCTGATGTCATGTTTGAATATTATTTACATGTTTCTTGTCATTTAGAAAGGTATATTTTTATTATGATGAAGATTAGAAATAAAATAACTGCAATATTATTGCATAGGAGTTCATTGAGAGTATTTTTTTAGAGTTTTTTCTTCCTATTTTAGTGTATTTTAAGTTGTACATATTTATAAGTTAACCAAAATTTCATAATACTGCTCTCGGGAATGTCCTGAAAATATAATCAGCCACCGTGAGGGTGCAGTAGCATCCCGGAAGCTGCAAACGAATTACTGGTCACATCCCCAAGTTCTCTGACAAGGGTAAAGATTATAGCAACCGCTTCTTAAGACCAAGAACTTCATTGAGTAGTGGACGCTGATGATGATGATGATGTCTAATACCTCTTCGGGTTACCGGGGCTCCAGCTCGATGTGCAGGAGTAGGAACGGGTTGGTTTTAGTCAGTAAGAGTCTGATACTCCCTCTCGCCTCACCCGGACAGGAGAAGTAATTGGATGATTTACCCTCCTCAAAAAAAAAATACCTCTTATATTCCGAACACGAAAAACGAACTTCATAATAAATGTAACATTATTCAAAACTATTTCAGAGTCAATACAAAATTAAATAACCCACAACATTATTAAATTGAAAGTTTTCAAACGTAAACATTATGACGTCACAGTTTTGTAAACAAAGAGTTGATTTGGCCGCTCGCTAAAACTTTACTCGCAAGTAGAGGTAAATATGATAGTGTAAATGGCATTTTATTTACATACATACATAACTTCACAATCTCCAATGGGGGTAGACAGAGACTATGGAACGCCAATTGCTACGATTCCTATATACCTCTTTCGCTTCATCAACAGTCATCAATATTTTCATGTATGCTCGTCGGTTAAGGGTAGTTTTAATTTGGCCCTTCTGTAATATATCGCCAATTTGATCAGTATATGTCCGTCTAGGGCGCCCTCTAGCGACGCACAGCTCCATTCATACCACTCTGTATACTTCTTTCATTACCTTACTTTCATCCATCGTTTCTACATATCCAAACCAGCGTTACATTTCCTATTTTATTTTATTTACTAAATATATTTTCATTAATACACTAAATACAGATGAAAGTGTATTTGTCTAATTATTATTTTTTAAGTGACGGACGAAGATAGATACTAACTTAGGGAGCTGGAGACTGATAATAGGTTTATTAATCATTATTGATCAAAGGCTAAATTAATTACTTTAAATTTTGATGTTCTATTCACATATGTGTTTAGTTTATCTAAGTATAACATTATAACTATGCATTTTTCTATTCCTCCAGGTATAAGTCCATCGTAATCAAGATATAGGAAGATCAAAATCAACTTTACTTCGTCCTCTTTGGTAACTGAGTCTCCAATATGATGTTGTAGATCAAAATCATGCAAAATGAACTCATTGTGACATTACAGTGACATTGATGACACTAATGAGATGGTGACGTTTGACGTCTGTACTGTAATGCCATTAGACTTCGTGTTGTGATGACGTCAGTGTTCAGGTGACGAGGTTCCTACATGTTTGGTGTTTGTAATGTCTTTCTTGGCTGTGGAGCATAATGGATGGCAGGTAAGTTGTACACATCTTTATATATATAATTCTTCTGTGAGTGTGTATGTCACTGAACTTCTCTCAAACGACTGGACCGATTTAAATGAATTTTTCTGTATGCGTTTGAATGGCGCCCTGGATGGTTTAAATTCACAAATCAGCCCGGCAGATGGCGCTGCAGTCGATATCTAGGTAATTTATCTATACCTATTATTACAGGACAACGTCTGTCGGGTCTGCTAGTAATTATGTAAAGAGAATAGAATAAGCCCCTACTTTACGGTAGGTATTGAAAGCTAAATTGTAATATTACTAGTTTAACGAAATATTACGTAGGACATCCTGAAAGTATTACCCTATTACATGGGACTCATAACATAAAATAGTGGAAAGTGGGTGTTACATTGTTACAGTGGCATTAAGTGCATCAATGTGCACCTCTGTCTTCTCCTTCGGGGGTAAAAGGCGTATTGTTAGGTATGTACATCTTGAAAGTGACTAGAGGCTTGGCTTTCCTATAATATGTATATCCTCATAGTTCTGTAATTCAAAGTGCTGTATAGGTACATCGATAATTACCATCAACTTTATCGTCAGGCACAACTGTTAAGGCATAGGCTATTAATATAGAGGTAATTAGGATTAACAAAGAGCTCGTCAGTAGTCTCTATCGACTATTTGACGGCACGATTGGCACGGTGGCTGGGCAATTGTCTGCTGCCCAACGTGTGATCCATAGATTGTTGTTCCGAGTCTGAGTGTCATGTGTATATGAACTTGTATATTTGTAAACGCACCCACGACACAGGAGAAAATCTACTAAGAAAGCAGTAAATAACATTATTAAATCCAACAAGTAAAATCAACCTAAATGACCCAAACGGCCATGAAATCACATTTACCGACATAAAACCTTATTTCTTCACCGGAAGCGAAGTCACAAACTAAATAGTGCTGCCACCTGGCGGGCGCCGGAAGTGGGCTTTATTGGCGGAAATGGACCGGTCGGCCGGATATAGCAATTTACACGGCCGCTTCTACACTGTTTACTGAAGGGAATAGAGTTTATTTTCAGTTTGTTAACCGTTATTTGTGTTCAGTTATTTAGTTTACGTTATTTTATTTCATTTAACTGCTTTTTTTAGGGGCATTTATAAATGGTTGCGTGGAAATGTTTAAAGTATATACATATTAGTAGGTTATAGACTGCCTCGTTGACCGAGTGGTCGCAAGTGCGACTAGGCAAGGGGTCTCGGGTTCGATTCCCGGGTCGGGCAAAATATTACTGGGTTTTTAAAAATCTCAGTGGTAGCACGGAGTCTGGAAATGTGCCCGGTATATGGCAATAGGCTCACCCCCTATTACATGGGACTCATAACATAAATAGTGAAAAGTGGGTGTTGCATTGTACAGTGGCATTAAGTGCCGAAATGTGCACCTCTGCCTACCCCTTCGGGGATAAAAAGGCGTGATGTTATGTTATGTTATGTTATATTAGTAGGTTTTAGGTGCAATTTTTTCAACACTAGATAAATTTTAACTGACGAATAACTTTGAATATTTGACAATTCTTCCATACTTAAAACTGTCAAATGTCAATTTTATTCTACAGTTCAGAATTAACTGATGATTGAAAAATCGATCCTAAGGGCCAATTTATCAATCATCAGTTAATTCTTACACACACGTCCCAGCAGCTTCGGGTAGCCAGTAGCAGCATAAAAATCGCTGCGTCGCGGGTCGAGGAATGCTGCTCATGTATATAAGCCTAGTTCACTTCCTCGTCAAATACTTACGTGAATCTCACGCAAGTAATAACATAGATATGTTATACTTCTAATAATATACCTACTAAAGTAGCATTTAATCATCAGTTTTTTCTTATTTTCTTTCATAATCATAGAAAATCGGTCCATCTCTAAAACCAATCCCTCTCTAATCCTAAAAGAAATTATCTTAGAATAAAGACATAAAACTTTGAATCAGTAAAGGACGCATGTCCGAAGGACGCTAGGCGCTCTCTCCATGGACGAATCAATATTCTCGTGACGTCAGCTCGTGCGATCTGCGTCTGTCGCTGTGGTCAAGTTGTTGCATTGCAAAGATATTATAAATAGCGAATGTATATTTAATATTACTGATATTAATAGGTAACCGATCTTTTTATTCCGACATCTCTGGATTGATCAGCGTTTTTGACAGAAATTCAATAGAACTAATGTCATAAATTAATCACATTTTGACCATCATTATTGCCAACAGCTCTTTTATTCCGAGGAGGAAAAATCATCCATTGATATCTCCTTAGACTCTCACTGACTAAAAACGACCCTGTTCCTTTTTCTTGCTTAGAGCAGGAGCACCGGTAACCCGCCAGGTTGTTCGCAGCTGTAAGATAATTGTGATCGCTATTACTAATAATTTGATAACAGTTCATTAAGCAACTTTAAATTTCTTTGTAAAACATTATGTCTAGGTGTAATAATTAAGAAATTTAAGCTGAAATGGGTTAAAGTTCATAACTATACCTCTAAATACCTCAGGGTGCATAAAAGTGCCCACTATAAGTCGTATTTTTAATTAGACGAAGTCAACTGACAATGGCTAATGTCAAATTGTAAAATAATGTGGCCATATTTAAAGTAATAGTGATGGCTACAGTTCTCGTTCAATCAAATGAATGAACAATGAATGTGAATAGTTCATAATTTTAATCATTCCAAAACATAAATGAATATTATTTCTATTTCTAATAAAATTGTATCAATATTTGATAGTTTATTGTAAAGCGCGGCGCGGCGAGTACTGACAACACCGATCGACGTCGCGCGCGTCGGTCGCCATTTTGATTGTTATTCGGCTTCTAACCTCTGGTCTGAAAGCACGTACTTTGTTATTTCTGCGCTCACGTTGTTTTGTTAAGTTTTTTGTTTCGTTGTGTTTGCGGTTATTGTGGTTCATTGTTTCCTTTAAACAATATGGATCCTCAACCAAGCACGTCAAGTCAAAGCTTGTCTCCGAGAAGGAAGAGACCACGGGTTTCGTTAAGCGTTACCGAAAAGCTCATGGTACAGAACGTGTATAAACACGTATTTGAGGAGAAAGCTGCTTCTCTATTACCTTTTGAAACCCCCGAAAAACAGGAATGTGTTTCGAAAACAGCTGACATTTTGGGAATTGGTGTGACCTCGGTTTACAGTGTATTAAAAGAATACAAAGAAAATGAACAATTTAAATCACCCGAGAAACGTGGACCGAAATACAATTTCAAAGACAAATTAGATGATTTTACTTTTACTGCCATAAGGCGAAAAGTTCATCAGTTTTTTTATGCAAATGAGCCACCCACCATTGCAAAGGTAACATAAACTTTATTCCGTCTACTGCATTATATTCTGTGTCCACCATAATGTTCTTTGTAAAACCAAAGTATTAGATTGCATAGATTTCCTTACTCAAAAACATTTTTATTACTTTACAGATCCTTAAAGTTGTCAATGAAGACCCAGATTTACCGACTTTTTCATGGAGTACACTAAGAAATGTTATGAAACATTTGAATTTCAAATACGTTTCAAAGACAAGAAAAAGCATTCTTATTGACAGACAGGATATTATTCTATGGCGCCAGCGATACCTTCGAGAAATAAAACAGTATAGAAGAGAAGGAAGGTATATTTATTACCAAGATGAGACCTGGATCAACGAAGGTAATTACAATTTTGTTTTCTTCATTTTAAATTTTACTTTCTGTAGGTTTTGTGGCCACAGATAAAAGTTCTTACAATTCGTTACCGACGCTGTATTTAACACAGATTACATGCGTTTCTTATAAGACTGTAAATTCTGATTGTGTGACAATAATATAAATTAGGAATAATTACAAACAAACATGACAAACCACTTAGATAAACGTGTACATACATTTACAGGCATGTGTTTAGAAGGTCCCTCTACTTTCAATAATTAATTGATATTTTTCTCTATTTTTAAGGTCATGCCCCGAAGAAGGTATGGATTGACCAAACAGTGCTAACCTCCCGCCAGGCCTTCCTCGATGGCTTGACCACTGGCTTAAAACAACCTTCAGGAAAGGGCAAACGCTTAATTATCGGACATATAGGCGGGGAAGAAGGGTTCGTAGAAGACAGCCTATTAATATTTGAAGCCACAAAAAACAAAGAAGATTATCATCAAGAGATGAATGCCGATTCCTTCGAAAAGTGGTTCAGAGAGGTCTTGCCAAAACTCAAACCAAATTCCGTGGTAGTGATGGATAATGCCCCGTACCACTCCAGGAAACTGGAATCGCTGCCTACAATGTCTTGGACTAAATCCAGAATACAAGAGTGGCTAACAAGCAAAAATATCGCATTCGAAGCAACAATGATCAAAGCTACTCTTATAGACATTGTACGACAGCACAAACACCAACATTCTGAAAAGTTTGTTGTGGACGAGATGGCAGCACACCATGGAATTACGGTTTTACGTCTGCCCCCATACCACTGTGAGCTTAACCCTATTGAGTTGGTATGGGCGCAGGCCAAAGGACATGTGGCAAGAAATAACAAAACTTTTAAAATGCCAGAAGTTAAAAAACTGTTTGAAGAAGGACTTCAACTCATCACAGCAGAAAAATGGAGTAGTTGCGTGTCTCACGTTATTAAAGAAGAAGACAAAATGTATGGCCTTGACCACATGATTGACAATGTGTCAGACAACTTTATTATTAATGTCACCGAAAGTGATAGCGATGATTTTTTATCTGATGATGATTAAAATCAAATGATGTTATTAGCGTTGTTTTTATTATCCATAACTACCTAATTTTTTTATATTTTACTCATCTGTAGTTTCAACTACTTCAATTAATTCACTAGACGATCGAGACAATTTCATTCATTTAGTTGCTTTTTCAATCATTCACTTTTTCGCAACACTATTTTTATTTCATCAAAAACTGACAACACAGCAAACGTCAGTCGACTTCGTCTAATTAAAAATACGACTTATAGGTATAATGACAGAAGTCATTCGATGATTTTCCCTCCTTAAAAAAACAAAAAAGAAAGGTATAATGACAGCTGTCAAACGTTCCCGCCTTTTTGCCAGCCAGTCCGTTTCACATTTTAAATAAAGAATTGAATGTTAACGTTCAGCCATTAGTTTTCATTACAAGTACCTATTACAACCTGCTTGCTAATGAATTTAGAACTATGTTGTGTTTGCTCTTTTTTCAAAACACATTAACGCGGCAGTTTACTAACGATTAGCACCTTCTGAGGCTGTACGTAATTGTTTTGTCAATTTATAGAATGGCAGTTGTTCGAAAATTGGACGATCGTTTAGAAACTATGCTAGGCTAGGATATAAATTGAATTTGAAGGAGATAAGTTTTGTTCAATACTGGTTCTTAAGTCTTAACGAAGACTTCCAAACTGATGAAAAAATAATCTTAAAATGAATATGTTCAACAAACTTTTTTAAATAGGTAACAGGGGAAAGTAGAGGGAACCAGATCTCGAGGCAGATTACTTATGCGCTGGAGTATTCAAGTCAAGTCAGCAACGGAAAACCCAGTGTCAGACTGCGCCAGACAATCGACAATCGGGGAGAGATGGCGGGAGATCGTGAAGAAAGCAGTATCGGCCTCCAACACAAATACGGCCGCCTCAACGTGACAACGACTGCTCTATCAAGAGCGAAACGACAGAGAAGAAGAACACGTGTAAAAGATACCAAAATAGTACTTATTATTCACCCCAAAAAATCCATTAAATAAAACATCAAACACTGAACAAACTACAAACACAATCTACCCTTACAATCTCAGATATTATCAGATCGTATTAAAATCAAATTGTACGTAAAATACACCAATTTGTCAGTTGATGATCAGATAGCGCCCCTTAGCGTTTAGTTGCGCCAACTAGCCGTAACTAAACGTTTTGGCGCGCGTCAAGTGTTTCTGATTGATGACGACGAACATCAAATGGGTGGACCTTTGAACTAGAGCTGTAATAACACCATGTATATATCTAGTGGAGTTTGTAATAGACGAGAAACGTTTTTGTAATTTTTTTTTAATTTGTGGTGAAAGTGTTGATGTAGCTAATATGTAGTTAAAATGAAATGATGAAAAGTGGATGTGAAGTATTAACATACTTTACTTAATTTCCCAAGTCCGCCATAACCTCCCAAAACCGCCGCAACTCTTGTAAGCCAGGATCTACAGTAGGTATAACCATGAAAACACCACAATACTGAAGTCCGGCGCGTCCCAGGGACATGAATAACGGTCTTGGTTCCCGCAACGAAATATATTAGAAGATATTATAAGAGGCGAAAAAAAAACGATAGTTTCCTCTTCCCTCTGTGAATTTACATTTATCGAAAAGCTTTCTTTTGTGTTGGATAGTCCATTTATCGAGGAAGACTATGTAGTATAAAACATCACGCTACGAATAATACCAATACCATAATTGGCTAGTTTCCTAGGATTAAAATAAATGGTTAACTTTTCAATGCAATAAATAATTAAAAAATAATCATACTCTCATCCATTGATTTGACAATTCACCTACTTTTCGAATTTTTCTCGCTAATTTTAAGGAAATAAGTACGCTATTTGACTCAGAAATATGATGACGTCATAAGTTACGATCCAATACAAAATTCATAGAAAAGTATCGTTTTTGACATTTCAATAAAAGTATTGAATTTGACTACCTGTCAATTACCGTATTCATGCAGTTTGAATTTTGGAAATGGAATAGGTACTTCGTCTGGATCGAGACTTTTGGCGCTCAATTAACGAAGCAGGCTAGAGCCAATGATGGTCAGATAACTTTGTAAACAATATTCAGTAACGTCAGTACGTAAACAGTCAGCAAAATGGTTTTCCTTGTTACATACTAGCTTGATAGAGTTATACTCCGGTTTCTACATCTGTTAAAGATTACCAGCAAACCAACCGACCAGACCAAATTAAAGATTTGAAAAAATATTCGACACATTTTTTATTTTGTCGAATAAAAAAGCAATAGGTACTTAGATAAAACGGAGACGAAAAATTAAGTTTGGTAGTTGGAGGTCGTTACGTCACGCTACCTTATAAAATATAGTAAATCGTGACGTCACACGATATTTCAAATCAATATAGAGGTATTATCGTCGAAAGTATTTAATTCTGGAAGAAAATAAAAAATACGGGTCTAATGTTTTAAAGTTATTAAAATATTTAGGGTACTACCCTATTGTTAACGACTGGGTTAAGAAAGCATTTAATGACTTTGAGTACGGCGATGTCAAGTGGCTCGGAGGTTTAAGTCGCCCACTTCTCATGCAGGAGGGTGCGGATTCGAAACCTATCAACAGCAACTACCAATGTGACTTTTTCCGAGTTACATGTACTTTCTCTAATCTAAATAATCTTTATTTAGATCACCATTGACAAACGATGAAGGAAAAACATCGCTAGTAAACCTGGATTTATAATTTCTATACCCACATTGAGCAAGCGTGGTGATCAATGTTCAAACCTTCTCCGTGTGAGAAGAGGCCTTTGGTCAGCAGTGGGCATTTATAAGCTATTGATGTGATGCGAGTTTTTTATGGGATAGGAGGCAAACGAGCAGACGGATCACCTGATGGTAAGTGATAAGCGGAACCCATGGGCACCCGCAACACCAGAGGAGTCACAGGTGCGTACCGGCCTTTTGAAAAGGTATACGCTCTTTTCTTGAAGGTTTTACGTACTTTTGTTGAGTACGGCGATAAGATACATATTAGGTACGTAAGAAATAAACAAAAACGCTACAAATAATATAATTTAAACAAACTTAACAGCTTACTTGCACAAAGACGGTAAAATCAATTTGACAACAACTTAGTTACTCTTACATCGAATTTTCATTTCTACGTGCAAGAGGCATGCGAAATCCCCTTAGGGTAAAACCAGATAACACTGAACTGTGACGCATTTCAAAATAGACTTTAATCAGGTGGGTTAAAGATTGAAGTTTCTGTTATGAGGGTTCTTGAGTTGTGGGTGGGTGATGGTGGAGGTTAGTTTGGGCAATGCCACGGTTGGGATGCGCTGCTTGAGGGACCGTAATAGGCGAGGCAATGATGTTTCATGGTTACGACGCGACGCTGCCGTTGCCATAAACAGTGATTGGGTTTTCGATGAGTGTGAAATGAGTTTCATGCTCGGGTTCGGAAATGTTTTCGGTAATATAGGCACTGTTTGTTGCTAAAAGCGGCGAACTACTAGTTGGAATTTGATAGTGAGGCAATAGGCCTGCTTTAAGCAATAGATGGCAATACAGCCTCGCATGATTATGTTCGAATCTGTAAATATGTTTCCATTTCAAAAATTGAAAAATACAACATCATCAACATAATATCAGGCCTTTCTTCCCCGAAGGGGTAGGCAGAGGTAGGAGAGGGTTAGGCACATTATGGCATTTAATTCCACTATGTAACACCCAGTTTTCATTATTTTATGTTATGAGTCCCATGTAATAGGGGATGAGCCTATTGTCATATACCGGGCATAATTCCAGACTCTGTGCTACTACTGAGATTTTTTTTAAAACCCAATAATACTTTGCCCGACCCGGGAATCGAACCCGAGACTCGGCAGTCGCACTTGCGACCACTCGGCCAACGAGGCAGTCGTGAAAAATACAATGTCTGTGAATTTGGTAAATTGAATTTTAGACTGCCTCGTTGGCCAAGTGGTAGCAAGTGCGACTGCCGGGCAAGGGGTCTCGGGTTCGATTCCCGGGTCGGGCAAAGTATTACTGGGTTTTTAAATATTCTCAGTAGTAGCACGGAGTCAGGAATTGTGCCCGGTATATGGCAATAGGCTCACCCCCTATTACATGGGACTCATAACATAAATAGTGAAAAGTGGGTGTTACATTGTACAGTGGTATAATGTGCACCTCTGCCTACCCCTTCGGGGATAAAAGGCGTGATGTTATGTTATGTTATGAATTTTAGAGATTCTTCATTAGCATAAAAGATTAAGTAGGAAGTAAGTTTGTCGAAATTGTATAGGACTTTATACGTAACACGATTTAAAGACATACATTATTCTCAATAAGGAATAGCTAACACTGCATTTAATCGATTTTTTGTAATTTATTTCAGAATGTTATGCTACTAAACGCAATTACTAAAACACCGACCTCATCCCTCTTATAGCAAGATAACAAAACCACTAAACCAAAGATTATACCAACACAATAATAATATATCACTACATAGTATAAAAGAAAGTCTCTATCCGCCATCTGTCTGTCCCTATATACATACTTACATTACATAGATCTTTGATCTTTATAACTATTCAACGGAATCTGATGCGATTTTTTTTAATAGATAGAGTGATTCTCAAAGAAGGTTTATATGTACCTCATAACTACATGCATATTACATTCATGCGAAGCCGGGGCGGGTCGCTAGTTCATCTATAAAGCATTACATAACATTCCCATTGCACATAATATTGTAAAGAATTAAAAAAGCTTTTCAGTAAATTAGCATAAGCCCGTAGCGCACTGTCCGGTGCGATACGGTGGAGCTGCGCAGGCGCATTCAGCCCGAAGGCGACGCGCGCAGCTGCCGCGGTACAGTAATGAACGCACCCTGTACGCTGACGGCTTAGATATTGTATATAGAGGGTGTGGTTATTATGAACATCTTGTTTCTACATGTTAAATTATTTGTTTGTGATAATTTTTGAAGTTATGTGACGCTGATTGGAATTTTTTCTATTCTTTACGGCTTCGAATGGAAAAGGAAACTTATACAGCAATAAAATGCATAATATTTTAATTGCATTACACATCATTTTTAGTTTGTATTTCCTATATTTTATACCATTGGAAAAGTAGCGTACATTATATTGATCATAATCACTACATAGTATAAAACAAAGTCGCTATCCGCCGTCTGTCTGTCTCTATGTGTTTGAAAGATCTAAATCTTTCAAACTACGCAACGGATTTTGATGCGGTTTTTTAATAGATAGAGTGATTCTTAAGGAAGGTTTATGTGTATAATAGGTACATGTATATTGCATCCGTGCGAAGCCGGGGCGGGTCGCTAGTATTTTATATAGTAGAAAAATTTTATTACATTTAGAGCCTCGAAGGGATGCGTGGCAGTTCGAGATCGTTGTCAATTTGTTAACTTCATTTTTAATAATTATAATACTCATCTGCCGGTTTTATACATACGTAATAAGTTTATTTTT